GCTCTGGGATGTGGCACTGGGTCCTGCCAGATCTCAGATACACATCCTAGATCCTCCAACAGATGCTGGCACACATCCCAAACACAATCCCTGCCTTCTTAGCAGTGAATGTCTGGAGGGAACCTGTCTTCCTCCTCACACAAGATCCAGGCAGGCCTCTTCTCTTTCCCTTGGGACATACCAGTGAAGAAGATGTAGTCAAACTTGTTCTCCAGCAGCCTGGTGGTCTCCTGCACACCACCGGTCACCACAGCAAAGCAGTCCTGCAAGGAAATGAGTAAGGCCCCTCCTGTCACAGCATCCTGGGAGTCTGAGACTCTGTCTGGGCATGGAGGAAGGAAGTTGGGCAATACATGGAACCAGAGATGGTGTGTGACACAGGCACAGAGCACAGCTCTGTGTGTGCAGGAGTGCCCCAACCATGCCACAGGGATGGGGAGAGTGTCCCACCTTGTCCAGGTAGCCGGGCAGTGCTTCTGCCACAAGTCTTTCTGTGTTCTTGGACACCTCTGAGGGTTTGACAATGACACAGTTCCCTGGGGAAGACAGACAGGATGTTGGAGCTGTGACATGGTAACAGCCAACAGCCTATGGATGAGGTGCCCTCAACAGTGCTCAGCACTGCTGGGATCCTCCAGGCCAGGGGATTGGAAGTTTGTGCTCACCAGCAGCGATGGCCCCGATGAGGGGCACCAGGAAGAGCTGGATGGGGTAGTTCCAGGGTGCTATGATGAGCACCACCCCATAGGGATCTTTGCGGATGAAGGCGGAGTCCAGCTGCATCGCCTGTGGGACACTGGCCACGTCAGGACCCACCCTGCTCCACCATCCTACCCAGCTCTGCCTCCCATCCTCTCTCTCCTCTTCCCTCTCACCAGAGTCCTGTCCACATGCTTATCCTTCATCCAGTGGGACAGGTTGTTCAGGGTCTCATGGAGCTCATTCTTGCACAGGAAGATCTCAGATAATTCAGCTTCAAAGGGTGCCTGCAGACACCAAGGATGCAACATGTCACCGTGGCATGTCCTGCATGTCCTCTTATCCCAACACTCCATAGTGTTTTGCCCAGGATTTGGGGAATGGAGCCCTCTACATCCCATGCTGGATTTGAATCCCTAGGGGTGTTGAGCACCCTCTGTGTCTGCAACATGACATTTTTAAGAAGTGGTTGCTTAAAAATAGGAAAAATTTTGCAGATCCAGTCATCCAGACAACAGGGAGAATAGGGAGGGTGTCCAAAGGGACTAGGTTGGAGAAGAGAAGACAAAGAGCCCTGTGTGGTATTAAGGCTCTGGCTGCAGAGCCAGGGGATCCGGGCTCCAGGAGTTGCAGCCTGGGTGAGTCCCGGGAGGGAAGGGGGTGATATCAGGTGGGAAGTTCAGGGCAGGGAGCAGGGACAGAAATCAGGGATTAACCTGCCCAGGGAAGAGGGAAACTGAGGCTGGTGGGAAAGGCTATCTGTGGAAGTTATAACAGAAAGTACTGTGGATTTAATCAGCATATGCAGTTTGATAACCAAGATTCCTTGGAAAGAGCAAACAGAGCATTGAAGATTACAAGAAGATTGGATCAAGTCTGGCAACATGAAAGAAGATTGAACTAAGTAGAGATGTAAAGTTTGTCTGTGTGATGTTTAACCTAATTAATGCATTAAAAATTACTAGCCTTCCTAAAAATTGTATATAAGCATATGTAGCTCACAGTAAATTTAGATTCTGATCACAAATCAGTAGTCCCTGTCTCTCTCTCAATCATGAATAGCTATCCATGTCAAGGGGCTCCCCACAGCCCCCTCTGTCTATGGCAGAGCAGGGATGGGCTCTGGAGGATGGTAACTGGGACATGCTTCACCTCAGTCTCCCAAATCCAGGGGCTGCAAACCCAAGCCAGAGCCCAGGCAGGGTTGGAGAACCCAATGAGAGAAGGACGAAGCACCCCCAGCTGGGCTGTGGGAGCCCCCCAGCTCCTCCAGCCACCAACTCCTCCTGTTCCTGTCCCCTCTCACCTTGCCCAAGTCAGAGGCAGTGGCCTCCAGAATCTGCTGCTTCTTCTCATCCAGGAAGCATCCCAGGGCCTCCAGCTGGGCCACACGGTATTCCAGGGGTCGAGTCTTCCCAGAAAGCCAGGATGCTCGCAGGTGGCTCACCAGCCCTGCGAAGGGGTTGCTGCTGTGGGGACAGGGGTGTTAGAGGGACACCAGCCCCATTTCAGCTCCTCAGAGCTCAACATCACCCCAGCCCAGCATCCAACTGCCACTCCAGGGAGGGGATGGAGCACCGGGGACCCTTCCTGCCAGCACTCTGTCCCTCCACACTCACCTTGTGGCATCACCATCCACACTCCTGTTCCCACCATCACACTCGAGGGCTCTCCTGGCCTCATTCTCAGGGAGCTGCAGGACAGTCCCAGTCTCCATGCTCCCAGAGGTGCGGTGCAGAATGGTTGTGCTGGGGTTATCAACCACAACTTCTCTCTTCTTGGCTAACAGGGTGGCTGCCAGCTTCCTGCCCTGCCCCTTGGCCGCCTGCCTTCTCTTGTCTCCCTACAATACTGTCACTGCTGGCTCCATTCCAGATAAAACTGCTTGGGATGGGAAATGCCCCTCCAACCCTCCCAGCACCCCATAAACCAGAGGAGGGTGTTGCCTCTCCTGAGACAGGGCGACCCGGCTCGAGAAGGACACGACGACTCAATTACAGGTCGTTCGGGCCAATCACTCACAGGCACCAATATGGTAGACGGCGAAATTGCGTTTATTTCCTCTTCGCGCGTTCTTATATGACTACGGTGTGCCGGCGTCATCACTAATCTCTTATTGGCTAACTCGACTGGAGGGGCGGGGCCATATCTTCCCGTACATCGCCACGATCTTCCCACCAAACTTTCCTGTCTAACCACAGGAGGGAGGCACAAAGAGAGGCTGGGAGAGAGTTTGATGCAAAGTCTTTACTACAGCAGAGTTACACGGAGCAAAGAGCAACAGGGAGCAGGGAGAGAGGTTCATTCCAAAGGTAAAGTCCATGTGAGAGGAGATGTGACGGATGGGAGTGCTTTTCCACCAGAAAGAGGTTTGGCTAAGAAAAATTTTTTGGTCATTTCAGCTGTGTCCTGGAAAATGGTTTTGGAGCAGAGGCAGGAGGGGATGTCCATCCTGACTGTCCAACATGCTCCAGCGAGGCAAAGGACACGGTGCAGAAATGGGGAGTGTGATGAAGAGGGAGAGGGGGACAGTCCCAGCTCTCCACACTGACTCCGTGGCACTCTCAGAGCAGGACATGGCAGACTCAGAGCAGGGTGCAGGTGCCTCTGCGCTTCACCTCGAAGGTGGTGGTGAAGAGCCCCATCTTCTGCTGGGTGTAGGGGGGGTAGCGCGGGGTGTTGAGCGTCTCCAGCCCCATGGTCCGGTGCAGACAGCCACGGGGGTGGGAGAAGGTATCAAAGGTGAACTTCCCATGGTATTTTCCCAGGCCACTGTTCCCTGGAACACACAGGACATGTCCGTGCTCAGGACGGGACTCTCCTCCTGATGATGCCTTCTCCAAGCATCAAAACAAGGGAAAAAGACACCTACAGGATTTTCTGAGGAGCACAGACATGGTGGAGGAATTCCATTTTTCCAGTGCCTCCTTCAGCTATATGGATGCTCAGTCCAGCCAATCCTACTGCACCTCAGCAGTTTGGAGGCCTCAGTGTGTCCTTTTTATCCATCTCCATTTATCTACACAAGCTTTGCTGGGTTCTGCAAGTCTTGATTTCCCTCTATGATGCTCCACTGTAAATCCCTACAGCTGGAGCTGTTCTACCTTCTTCCTGGAACTCTAAAATCCTGGAGCCACATTGGCAACATCAGTTGTCCCAGTTCCTGTGGCTAGTTTAACTGGACGTTAAGAGCCCAGTGACTTCCTGTGGAAGCTTTGGTGCCATCTCACCCCAATGACTCCAGCCCCTTCACCTCCTCTAAAGTGGCTTTACCTGATAATTGAAGGTGGTTTGGACTGAATCATTCCCAATTAAGATAAGTTATGGAATGGGAAGTACAAAAAATTGTTCCTTGAGCCACAGGCAGGTGAGGAATTAATTGTCTGGGTGTTTCATTATGTCTGACTCAGGTGCCATCCCCGACAGAGATGCTGACCAAGGGCAGCACCAAATGAAGGGACTTATCCCAGAAATATTTTGGGAAGAGATCAAGACATGGAGAAGTATTCTGGGAAACAACATTCCTGTATCCCTGGACTATGCTGCACCTACAGCCCAGGGCTGAGCAGCCTCACTTTTCACCTGAGAAAGCAAAAATTGGTGCCTCTGGAGACCAACAATTTTTTCTCCTTCAAGGAGGATTTCCAAGATCCCATAAGAGGTTCTCCAGTGTTTTGTTCCTACTATTTTGTCCTAAAAGTTGGAATGAAGGTACAACCTGGATCCTGAGAGACATTAGAGGATCCAGCCCAGAACCATAGTGGCTGCAGGAGGAAACTCACATTCCTCACCATGGCTCAGGCCACATCACACCTGGCTTCCAATGGCCAGAACTGGGGATTTTGGACCTACCAATGCCTCCAAAGGGCAGCGAGGGCAGTGTCACATGCATCAGGGTGTCGTTGCCACAGAAGCCACCACTGCTCGTCCGCTCCAGGACCTGGTTCACTATCTGGGAAGGAGCAGAGAAGGGAGATGAGGGGCCTGCACTTGGCAAACATTACCTAATTTACTCATTGGATGTTCACAGAGTGTTTGGGCTCTAAAGACCCTGGGGCTGGTGGAGGTGGTGCCTGACTTCCCTCCCCACTCTTCCTGCTCCACAGACACACCTTGCTGTCACAGGAGAAGGCGTAGACAACCAATGGCTGAGGCCGGGCGTTGATGAAGTCAATGGCTTCATCCATGTTGGCAATGACAACGATGGGCAGGATGGGCCCAAAGACCTCCTCCTGCATGATGGGATCTGAGGGCAGCACGTCTGCCAGCACGGTGGGAGCTGCAGAGAGGAAACCAAACAGCACCAGCCAGGCACAGAGGTCAGAGATGAAACCTCCCTTCAGGAGCCGTTTTTAAGCATCCCTAAAACTCTTTTCCCTCTAGAGCCTCCCCTCTGTATGAAGACCCCCTGAAAACCCCCAATGTGATCACCAAGATGTGAGTGACCCCCAAGCCTCACCGATGTAGCGCTCTGCCTCGTCCGTCTGTCCCCCGATGGCCACACGCCCACTGCGCAGCAGCGCCCGGAGACGTTGGAAGTGCTTGTCACTCACAATGCGGCCAAAATCCGGGGATTCTCGGGGGTTTGGGCCGAAAAACTCGGTGATGGCCTCACGCAGGGCGGGCATGAGCTTCTCCTGCATCTCTATGGTGCAGAGCAGGTAGTCGGGCGCGATGCAGGTCTGCCCCGCGTTGAAGAAGCGGCCCCAGGCCACGCGCCGTGCCACGTTGGTCACATCACAGGTGTTGGACACGTAGCAGGGGTTCTTGCCCCCCAGCTCCAGAGTCACCGGTGTCAGGTGCTTGGCAGCAGCTGTCATTATGATCCGCCCCACCGGGGGGCTGCCTGTGGGCAGGGAAAACATGGATTGAGGTGAGAATCCCACCAGCCATTGCACGGCTCTGGGATGTGGCACTGGGTCCTGCCAGATCTCAGATACACATCCTAGATCCTCCAACAGATCCTGGCACCATATCCAGGCAAGGCTCTGCTCTTTCCCTTGGGACATACCAGTGAAGAAGATGTAGTCAAACTTGTTCTCCAGCAGCCTGGTGGTCTCCGGCACGCCACCAGTCACCACAGCAAAGCAGTCCTGTAAGGAAAGAGAAAAAAATTGCCTTGTGTCACCATTTGTCCCCACCAACAGCATCCCAGGGAACTGGGACATTGGCTGAGCACCAAGAGAGGAGGTTCTGCACATAGATGATGTGTGGAGATGGTGGGTGTGAGGCAGGGCTGGGAACACCATGGCCCAGGGACAACAGACAAGGACAAGAAGGGCTTCTCACAGTGTCCAAGTAACAGCTCAGCGTTTCAGCAACGAGTCTCTCTGTGTTCTTGGAGATCTCTGAGGGTTTTATGATGACACAGTTTCCTAGGGGAAGATGAACAGGACATCAGCACAGTGACATGGTGACAGCTAGCCCTTCTATGGACGAGACCCCTGGGGAGACCCTGGCACTTCAGGCCAAAGGAATGGAAGTTTGTGCTCACCAGCAGCGATGGCCCCAATGAGGGGCACCAGGAAGAGGTGGATGGGGTAGTTCCAAGGTGCTATGATGAGCACCACCCCATAGGGGTCCTTGCGGATGAAGGCAGAGTCCAGCTGCATCACCTTCAAGGAAGAACATGACCTCAGCACTGCCTTCCCCACCAGCAATCCCTCTCCCCTGCTTCCCTTTTCCCAGAGCTTTCTTCTTACCAGGTTCTTGTCCACATACTCATCCTTCATCCACTGGCACAGGTTGTTGAGGGTGACATTGAGCTCATTCTTGCAGAGGAGGATCTCGCTGAAGAAAGCCTCGAAGGATGGCTGGGAACAGACATCATGGAAATGCTACCTAACAATGACCCCATCACTGACCCTGTCACCCTAAGACAGACCCCGTCACCCCAATGCCAATCCCACCATGCCAGGAGGCATCTCTGCCCTCTTCCAAACATGAATAGCAGGAGGATTCCTTCAGCAGAATTTTCCATCGCATCCTATGACTCCCAGGGAATATCAGTGTCCCAGAAATTTTATGAAAATAGTTATTTGGCCAGAAGGAAAAAAAAAAAATGGAGCATTTTCATGGTATTTAACAAAGTCCTGAGCTCAGCACAGTGAACTGGCAACAGAGCCCCGAACCAAGCAGACACCCAAGCAATGTCACCACAGCTCCTGAAGAGCTGGTCCTGGTGCAAGGCATCCTGACCACTTGGATATTCAAGCTGGAAGCAAAGCCCCAACCTCCCTTCCATCACCTGTGGACAAAAGCTGCACCATTTAGTCTTAAGTTTATTCAAAGTCTTAAGACCTTGACTAAAGGGAAGTAACAAGAACCACAGCGTAATTAAACCCCTTGTGATGGAGAAGTGTGAAGACAGCAGGGATAGCCCAGTAGGCTCAGTGGAGCAGGGAGAGCAAAGCTCCTGCTGCAACACCATATTTTGGATTCTTCCAACCCAAAAACACCCCTGGATTGGAGTGTTCCTCCCATCCCCACACCATTTTGGGGTTGGAAAGGCTGGTTGCTGATTCCCAGGATCTTCCACCACCAAGAGACCTTCAGGTCCCCGAAATGCAGCTGCCAGGTGTGAGGACCCTCTTGGACATGAGGGCTCAGTAGGCACATGAGATAATCGGGTGAAGCAACGGGGCTGTTCTCAACCCAGGATGACGATGGCATCACCAGGATAAAGAAGATGATGGTTCATTAAGAATTTTGATGGGACACAAAGGTTGTAAGATAGGACATTAAGTCTGAGGTCATCCAAGAGCCACCAATCATCAGCACCAGAGAGGAACCGGCACCGCTGGAGGTGAGACACCACCTCAGCTACGTAAGAGCAGGTGAAGTGTCCATCTAGCTATGAGGGCCTGGCTGCATAACAAGCTCATTACTGGACAACCGGATCTAATTAGGTGTAATTAGGAAAGACGATGGACACACTCAGAACACTGATGCCTATCAAGGCCTGGCTGAAGGAGAAGACCTCGCCTCCAACAAACACGGCAATTAGGAGCCTTGGGAGATGAGAGGACATGGAAAGATATCGCTGAGGGCAAGGGCCACTTCACTGATGCCAAAGAAGTGAGGCTCATATTATGGAATCCTGGAATTGAAGCTCATCCAATTCTGCCCCGTCATGGGCAGGGACACGTTCCACCAGCCCAGGTTGCTCCAAGCCCCATCCAACCTTGCCTTGAACATTTCCAGGGATGATGAGCTGAGACCACTGGAATTATCCATGCTGCAGATGCTGCCACTTCACCAGCAGATCATCCAGGAGCTCCTGACATGCCACAATACCCTAAGCCATATCCAGAGCCCTGCCCATGCCACCGTGCCAGTGAAACCAGTCCCTTGGAGGCCGTGGGAGGAATGTGCAGTGCTAGCACGTTGCACAATGCCAGTAATCCCAGGCGTACCAGGCTGGCCAGCAGCACCCCAGGATGTCACCTCTGTGGAGGACACACGGACCCCCGGGATGCAGACCAGAGTGTGAAATGCTCCCACCTCGGCCGATCACCAACAGGCCAACAGGGCCTTTGCCTGGTTTCAGGGCACCAGAGATGGGATCAACAGCATAGTCCCTCTGCTATCCCTGGATCTGCTGGAATCCAGCACTTACAGATGCATCAGCCTGGGAGCACATCATGGGGGAAGCAGAACCCCAAGGAAGGGACACCCCTGTGCCCAGATCCCCACAAGGATGCAATACCCAGACAAGGGTGTATGAAGTACATCAAAGATGTGATGCCAGTGGCCCCCAATTCCCAGCCCTTCTTACCTTGCCCATGTCCAATTCAGTGGCTTCCAGGATCTCCTGCTTCTTGTCATCCAGGAAGCGTCCCAGAGCCTCCAGCTGGGCCACACGGTATTCCATGGGCCGCGTCTTCCCTGAGAGCCAGGATGCCCGCAGGTGGCTCACCAGCCCTGCATAGGGGTTCCCACTACAGGGATGAGGGTGTTAGAGGGGACCCAGCCCCATTCTACCTCCCCAAAGCTTCATGTCATCCCAGATACACATTATCCTATCCCAGCATCAAACTGGGCCCCAGGTTCCCTGGGGACAAGGCAGGGAATCCACACACACCTGTCTCCCTTGCTGCTGGGAGCAGCCCAACACAGCAACATTCCCAGTAGATCCTGTCTTCTCCCTTGGGCCATGCTGGGATGTGGTGGCTCACAGACCTCAGACTTTTCCCCCAGCACCAACCTGGGGTCCCCATAGCCCTGGCATTGCCACAGCTTCCCCTGCCCACCTCCCTGTCTTCCTCCTGCTCCCAGCCCCTTGCTCTCACCACGGAGTGCTGCAGACCATGGACGCTGGCCCCTTCCCGATCCCGCTGCCTCCACTGCACCCAGCAGCTTTCCCAGGATCTTTGCCAGGATCACTGCTCGTGGTGCTGCACTTGCCGTAGCCTGAGAGCTGCTGCCTGGGGGGCTCGAGGGTCTGCTGCATGCCAAGCTGTTGGAAGGAGCTGGTGGTCTCCATGAGGAGTGTGGTGGCCCTGGGGAGAGACACTGCGTGGGTTATGCCAGGAGGGAAGTGCTGGAGATGCCGGCTCGATCCCAAGAGGAGTCACCTGCGGCACCTTTGAAGGGCGGCTTGGTGCTCGGGGCCGTCCTGGTTGTGGGATGACTCAGCCCAGGGCAGCTGCCAGAGGCCCTGGGAGATGCCTGGGATTCCCAGGATAATCGCCATCCTCGGGACACTGACGTGCCCAGGCTGCCCTGCTGATGTAGGGTCACCTATGGGGACCTCAGAGACAAGACATCCCTAAATCTGGAGAGCAGAGCTGCAGCCTCCCATCTGTCACCCTCTCCCTCTCCATGCCCAGACACCTACCCTTCCTCAAGGGAACCCCCTCCATGCCCCACAGCCCCCACCAGTATGGGGGGTGTCAGAGAGGTGCCATGCAGGGAGTGCCAGTTTTGGGGACCCCACAGTGCTTACCTGGGAGCTTGTGTGGAAGCTGCAGGAGCGCAAGGCCAGGCAGGCACTGCCGAGGCACGGCAGTGGGGGTCCCTAAATGCTGTGGGGCTGGGCCCCATGGCCAGGGGTGGGAAGGATTGGGCCCCGCCTCTGTGAGGGTGGGATAGGATAGAATGGGACCTCCCCCTTGGGATGGTGGAACTCCAATGGCCACCACACCACCACCATGAACCTTGACCCATTTGGACCCTACAGACACACCTCATCCTGCTCCTGTGACTACCCTGATCCATGAGGTTCCCACAGACACCCCTCATCCTGCTCCTGTGACCACCCTGAACCATGGCATTCTCACAGACACCCCTCATCCTGCTCCTGTGACCACCCTGAACCATGGCATTCTCACAGACACCCCTCATCCTGCTTCCCAAGGGTTCCATGATCAATAAAAACCCATTATCCTGTTCCCAGGATCACCTTGACCTATGGGGTTCCTACTGACACCCTTCATCCTGTTTCCCAAGGGTTCCATGACCAATAGACTCTCCTCATCCTGCTCCCAGGACCACCTCCAGAAAAGGCCCTTTGCCCTGGCACTCCAAGGTGGCTCCCATTGCCTAGGGTGTGGAGGACCCTCAGAATGTGTGCTACCCCTGCCCCACTGCCATGACCCTTCTGGGGCTGTTCCCTGCGTATCCCCCCTATCCTGCAGAAACCACCACCACCACCATCTCAAGAATCCCCCGCTACCGGCTGGGCCAGATCCTGCCCCGGAGATGCCACCCCTTCCGCCCTGCCCAGCAGTCCCCTCGCCCTGCCCCGGGGCACCCCGCCGTGCCACGCACCCGGGCACCCTCCCGGCCCCAGCTCTGGGGTCACACCAGGGCAGGACGTGCCCTGCACCCCCCGATTTGGGGTGTCCCCCCTCCCAGGCACTCTGGCACATCCCCCGGGCCGGGAAAGGGAAGCGAAAGCAGCAGGGCGCAGCGCCCAGTGCAGCGGGGCACCCCGAGGAGGCAGCACCCATTCCGAGACCTGGTGGGAGCGCTGGGGAAGCTGGGGGGTCACAGGGAGGAGGGGGAGGGGGGGCTGGGGTGCTGTGGGATGGGGGAGCAATAGGTGCTGTGCGAGGGGGTCAGGGTGCTGTGCAGGTTGGGGTATGATGAGTGCTGGGGAGGTTGAGGTGCTGAGAATGGACGCAGGTGGGAAGCACTGAGGAGTGCGGGCAGGGACCGGGGGGTCCGCGAGGAGGGGGAGGGGGTCCGGGAACGGCCCCTTTAACCACCCAACCCCGTCCCGCCAGCGCTAAACGAAAGAGGAAGAGGCGCCCGCCCCGCCCCGAGAGCCTCCGGCATGGGCGAGCGGGGCTGGGGTCGGTGTGACCGGGGTGTGAGGAAGCTGGGGGTGCTGAGCCCAGAGGTGCAGTTCTGGGGAGTGCAAAGTTGGGTAGGGGGCGTGGGATTCAGGACTGCAGGATCTGAAGGTATAGGAGTGCAGAACACGGGTGCAAACCACGAGTGCAGGATCTGGAGATGCAGAGCACAGAGGTTTAGGGCATGGGGGTGCCGTGTGCTGGGTACATGGTGCTGGATGTAGGGGTGCAAGGGCTGGGGGTGCAGGACACAGGGGTGCAAAACATATGGGTTTAAGACTTGGGGTGCCAACAGGGTTCCACCCATCCTGACACTACCCAGAGTCTCCCAGAAGCACCAATGGAGAAGGAAGTCGACAGCAGCCAGGATGGGGCCAAGACAGTGCCCAGCACCGGGCTGGGCACTGAGGGGACAGAGACACAGGTGAGACGAGGGGGACACCCACAGGGGGGAACCAGGCCCGTGGTGGCCATCCCCAAGAGCTGACAGCTGGAATAACCCATAGCTGGACGATTTTGTGGGTACTCACCCTGACTACAATGAGGAGGAGGAGGAGCAGAAGTACTTTCGCCGCAAGCGCCTCGGTGTCATCAAGAACGTGGTGGCCGCCAGCCTGGCTGGCACCCTCACTTACAGCGTCTACTTGGGTATGGGATTTCCCACGGACCCCCAAAACAACTTGGGGTATTCAGGGCATGGGGTGACCACCCTTGGACTCCCCCAGGCCTGCTGCAGATGCAGCTGATCCTTCACTATGACGAGACCTACCGGGAGGTGAAATACAGCAACATCCGGCTGGAGGACATTGACCACAAGGTGCTGATGGGCATCAATGTCACACCTGTGGCAGCACTGCTCTACACACCCATCCTTATCAGGTACGGCCCCACCACGCTCCTGGCTGGCACGGCTCACTAGCACAGCCACCCACACTTCTGCTCCTTGCCCTGGCAGGTTCTTTGGCACCAAGTGGGCCATGTTCCTGGCAGTCGGCATCTACGCTCTCTTCGTCTCCAGCAACTACTGGGAGCGCTATTATACGCTGGTGCCCTCTGCAGTGGCCATCGGCATGGTCATCGTGCCCCTCTGGGCCTCCATGGGCACCTACATCACACGGTAGGCATCGTGGGGGTGGGTGGGGGGTGCAGGGGGGGCTGGCTGACCCGCTGCTCCACACAGGATGGCCCAGAAGTACTATGAGTACGTTAACTACAAGGAGGAGCAGGAGAAGGAGAGGCAGCGGGTGCCGCGGGATGCCTGCAATGCCTACATCATCGTCTTCCAGACCGTCTTCTACTCCTGCTTCCATGTGAGCCCTGGTGGGGTGGCTGGGATGGGCTGGGGGCCACGCCAGCAGCACTGAGCGTGCACCCCTCCGCATCTTGTAGTTGAGCTTCGTCTGCGCTCAGATGCCAATGGTCTTCTTCCTCAACAACTACCTCTACCAACTCAACCACACGCTCTTCGCAGTGAAGCACTGTGGTGAGGCTGCGGGCAGGGCGTGGGGCAGCACCGGGAGCCCCCCAGTTGGGATTAACCATGGCCTGTGCCCCACTGGCAGGGACCCTGAGCCACGGCACGCTGCCCGGCTTCAACAAGACAGTGCTGCAGAGCCTTCCCCGCAGCGTCAACCTCATCATCGTGGAGAGCGTGTTGATGGCCACCGCCTTCCTTGCCATGCTGGTGGTGAGCACAGGGCAGGAGGGGACAGGGATGGGCTGGACAATGGCAGGAGCTCACTGCAGGCACTCCGCAGGTGCTGGTGCTGTGTGGCGCGGCGTACCGGCCCATGGAGGAGATCGACATGCGCAGCATCGGCTGGGGCAACATTTTCCAGCTGCCCTTCAAGCACATGCGGGACTATCGCCTGCGGCACCTCTTCCCATTGTTCATCTACAGCGGCTTCGAGGTGCTCTTTGTCTGCACTGGATTTTCCCTGGTAGGATCCGTGATGGGGTGGGAGCTGACAGAGGGGGGACAGGTGATGCTGAGCCCCTGCTTGCTGCAGAACTACGGCGTGTGTGCCCTGGGGCTGGAGAGGTTGGCGTATCTCCTCATGGCCTACGGCTTCTCCGCCTCGGCGTGCTCCAGCCTGGCCCTGTGCATGCTGTGCCTGCGCCGGCACATCCCACTCCTGGCTGGAGCCTTCATCCATGCTGTACTCCTGGTGACACTCTTCTGCTGGGCACCAGAGCCCCGGTCCCTGGCGCAGGCGCCGCTGCTCTACAGCATTGCCGTGCTCTGGGGCATGGGCAGTGCCCTCAACAAGACCGGAATCAGCAGTGAGTAGCAGGAAGGTCCTGAAACAACAGGTCCTCAGTTGTCCCCAAAACACCTTGGTGGTCCCCAAAATAGCCGGGGTTGTCCCAAGTTTTTCCACACATCCTCTCCTCATGTCCCCTGGCACCACGAGTTTGTGGTCTCAGTCCTCAGTTCCATGGGATAGACCCACTGTGATTGTCCCCCACGCCAAGGGGACATGGTACAGGAAGGGGACACTGATTCCAGTCTCTGCCACAGTCCTCCTGGGGATGTTGTACAAGAAAAAGGAGCGCCAAGACTTCATCTTCACCATCTACCACTGGTGGCAGGCCCTGGCCATCTTCACCGTCTACCTGTGGTCAGGGCTGCCCATGAAGGTAAGTCTCAGATATGTGCCAGCCCACTCTGTCCAGGCTTTTTGGGGACCAACCCCTAAACCAATCCCAAAATTCCTTGTGCCATAGGCCAAGCTGTCCATCATGCTGCTGACACTGGTGGTGGCAGTGGGGACATACCTGTGGATGGAGCGGAAGGTGGTGCAGAATGTGGATGTCCGGCTGCCCCGCATCCCGCGCCCACGCCATAAAACACGTGGATACCGCTACCTGGAGGACAACTCGGATGAGACTGGCTCCGACGGTGACGGTGACGGTGACAAGGAGGATAATGACAGGCACCCAACTGAGGCCACCAGTGAGGACGAGCTGCCAAAAGAGGACGGGGAGCAGCTGGGATAGAGACAGCCTGGCCTGAGCCCCATCCTGCCCTTGGTACCTGAGGGGGTTCCACAGTACCCCCCGGGTGGGCCCAAAATTCCGCAAATCCCCTCAGGTCAGGCTTGCAGCCCCCCAAGCTAAGCCTAAAGCCCCTAGGCAGCCCAGAGCCCCTCACATTGACTGACAGACCCCCAGACTCGCCCATGGACCCCCCAGGTCAGGTCTGCACCCTCCAGATTGACCTACTGCCCCCAAATTGTGGTACAGAGACCCCCAGATCGTGGTACAGCCCCTAGGCAGGCCCATACCCTCCCAAATTATGATGCAACTGCTCAGGTCAAACCTGCAGATCCCCAGGCCCGCCCCAGAGCCCCCACACACAAATCCACAGCCCCCCAGACAAGGCTCACACCCCCCAGGCAGATCCGCAGCCCCTCCGGATTTGGCCGAAGCCCCCCCAGGTGAGACCCACAGACCCCTGAGCAGATGCACAGACACTCTTAACAGGGCCTGCATCCCCCCACAATGTCCTGCAGACCCCAGGACTACCCCCAGCCCTCCTATATTAGCCCCCAGCCAAACCATCGGACCCGCAGAGCTACCCAGGAGCCCCCAGGCATATCGACACCCTCCCAAACTGGCTCACAGCACTCTATACCAGCCCCACATGCGCCCCAAGCAGACCCTGCAGCCCCCCGGCTTGTCTCAGAGCCCCCCTACCTCAACCTGCAGTCCCCCAAGCCGGCCCCGCAGACCTCCCGACCCCTCCCATCCCCATTTTCCTTCAATAAACCCCCTCCCTCCATCTCCTTGGCCCTCACCTCCTCCATCCTCCGGCCACGCACCCTCAGCGCCCCCTTCCCGAAGCGGAGACTACAGCTCCCAGCGTGCACCGCGCGATGTACGCCGGGAGTTGTAGTCCCAGCCACGTGGAAGCTGCCTCCATCTCCCCACTCAAACCACAACTCCCGGTACGGTTCGCGTCGCCGGGCGCCATCATTGCCCCCCCCGACTTCCGCGCATGCGCGGTGCGGGCTGTTGTTGTGGCGGCGCGGCCCGCGGCTTCACCCGGGCGGGAGCGATGAGCGACAACGATGACATCGAGGTGGAGAGCGACGTGAGTTGGGCCCCCAACCCCGGGACAATCCCTGGGATAACCCCCCGTGGCTCTTCGCCACTTTAGGAGTGCTGGGAATGGGGTAATGTTTGGTTTGTGTGTGTTCTTCCTTCATATGGCGGCGCCCCCCCCCACCATCTTCTTCCTCTTCCTCCTCGCCTGGGTCGGGGCTCCTCAGGAGGAGCAGCCGAGGTTTCAGTCCGCGGTAGGTCGCTGGGGGCCCCCCCGCAGCGCCCCCGGGATCGGGAGCACGTGGGCAGGGGTGTGAGGGGGGCGGGATTTGGGGAGGGGGTGACATGGAAGGGGACTGGGGGAATGGGGACCTTGGAGGGATTTGGGGGTGTTGGGCGTGTTCTATGGGGATCAGAGTGTTGGAGGGACGTCAGTGAGGTTGGGAGTGTTAAGGGGGGCACCACTGGGGTTGGGGGTCTTTTTGAGGGGAACACACCTTTGGGGCTGGGGTCTTCTGGGTGGGCTGTGGCATGGAGAGAGATCTCTGGGGATGGGGGTCTTGGGAGAGAAGAAATCTGGGCTTGGGGGTGTCCTGTGGGGATGGGATTCTTGGAACGGGGGGGACACCAGTAGGGCTGGGGGTCTTTTGGGGAGGAAGATTGGGCTTGGGAAGGGGACACCTGTGGGCTTGGAGGTCTTATTTCGGTTGGGGGCTGTGACACGGAGGGGGACCCATGGAGTCATGTCTTTTGTGGGGGCAGCTGGGTTTGGGGGTCCTGTGGGGACCTGTGGGGCTGGGGGTCTTATGCGGGGGGGAACACCAATAGGTGTCCTGTGGGGCGTGGGGCTTGGGGTCGTGTGGAAGAGGATCCTGGTATCTTTAGGAGAGGGGGAGTGGGAAGCTTTCTGTGGTAAAGCGGGGGTGTTGGGGGGTCGTTATTTGTGGGGCCGAGTCATGTCGGGGGGTGGGGCTATGTCTGGGGGGACGAGGGAACAACACAAGGGGTTGACAGAAGACACGGTGGTGGGGGGGGCGGTTGTGCTTAGTTGTTTGGGGAGGAGGTGACCATATTCCAGGGGGAAAGTGCTGTGTCCCCTCCGGGGCCCGGAGCTGCCCCGGCAGCAGGAAGCTGGGGAAACCGAAAGCACCGGGAGCCGCCTCCTTCCCACGCCCTCACGGCCCAGCCGGAGGCGTCACGGCCACGGAGCCGTCCTGAGGGCTCGGCCGAGCTCCCACAGCTATTCCCAGAGGGAATTTTGGGGGTGCAGGCGGTGGCCTCCTCCCGGTGCCACCGCTGTTCCCCCCTCCCAGGCCGACAAACGGGCTCATCACAACGCGCTGGAGCGCAAACGCAGGGACCACATCAAGGATAGCTTCCACAGCCTGCGGGATTCCGTGCCCTCGCTCCAAGGAGAGAAGGTGAGTTTATGGAGTGTGCTGGGAGCACAGACAGCACCCACCCGTGGTCCTGGCTTCTTGATTTGGGACATTACCAAGGCTCTCTTCTGCCACAGGAGTCCTGAGTGAGGCCAGAGCCAGGGTGGGATGAGGCAGGTAAAATTCCAGTCTTCTCCCCTGGACTAGGTCTTTATCTTGCGTCTGGCTTTTCCCACTATTGCAACAGGCATCCCGGGCCCAAATCCTGGACAAAGCCACAGAGTACATCCAGTACATGCGCCGGAAAAACCACACGCACCAGCAGGACATTGACGACCTCAAGCGGCAGAACGCGCTGCTGGAGCAGCAAGGTGGTAGCTGAGATCTGGCTGGAGATGGGGTCTGGCAGGGTCTGAGATCCAGGAGCTGGAGTCTGGCAGGGTTTGGGATCCCAGATCCCATGGGAGCTCGGGTCTGGCAGGAGATATGATCCATCAGAGTCCAGGATCTGGTGAGACTTGAGGTCTGGCAGGGTCCAGAGTTCAGTGGGAGCTGGGGTCTGGCAGCATCTGGGGTCCAGAAGAGTTTGGGATCCAGGATTGGGTGGGAGCTGGGGCCTGTCAGGAGCTGGGCTGCAGGCAGGGCTGGGCCCGGGGGTGACACAGTGCCCGTTCCTCGCAGTGCGTGCGCTGGAGAAGGCCCGAGCCAGTGCCCAGCTCCAGGCCAGCTATCCCGCGGACAACAGCCTCTACACCAACCCCAAGGGCAGCGCCATCTCCGCCTTCGACGGTGGCTCCGACTCCAGCTCCGACTCGGAGCCCGACGAGCCACAGAACAGGAAGAAGCTGCGCATGGAGGCCAGTTAGGCCCCCCCGCCGCTCCTCGGCCCGCGGCAGGACTCGCTCCCTCCGCTCCTAGAAGCTCTCGGACTGCAGCTTCCCAGCCCTCCCCGGCCCCTTCCCTGCTCCCACCGCGCCGGCCCCGGGGGGAGCCGGCCAGGCCGAGCAGAAAGACTTGGGGGGGGTCAGGGAGATTCCCCTGCCAACTCCCCTCTGCTAGCGACCCCCCTCCCCTTCCCTCCTGGTTTTATAGGAGCATTTCTATTTATACCCGGGGACCAGTGCAGTCCGGAACGGGGAGGAGCCAGGCAGCACCCTCCCCCCCAAAAAAAGGAGCAAGCACTGGGGGGGATCTCCCTATTTATTTTCTCCGTGTGCAACTCCACCTGCCCGAGTCGGCGGAGCACAGAGCCAGGCTTGGAGGCTCCTTCCCCAACTCCTCCTCCTCCTTCCCTCCCTTGACCCTTCCCAACCTCCGTGGCATTTTCCAAACTCCAGTGGCCCGTCCCTGCCCCGTAGGTGCCCCTTTTCCCCCCATTTTGATGCCATTCCATGGATCTAAGGTATGTTGTACATACTGCCCAGAGATGTCTTGCAAGTTAAGGCTTCCCTTTACTATAAGACTATAAATAATAAACAAAAAAAGCCAAAATTCCACTTATTTTATCTTCCCCCGTGGTTACCGCGTGTTCTTGGAATGGGGGAAGTTGGTGCCACCGGATCCAGACATGGTGTCACCTCCTGCCCCACATCCCCGGGGCCACCAGCACACGGCGGGTGTCACTTCTGGTTTATTGATGCCAAAAAGCTCTGCCAGAGCCCCTGTCCCACCTCGGCCCTGGCCAGGATGGCAGCGGGACACCAGGCCCAGAGCAGGCTGGATTTTGGTATTGCTAGCACCCTGAGCACCTCGCTCTGCCTGCCAGGCCGCCGTGGGGATAGGCTGTGCCGCTTGCTCCCGGGGCTCGGCACCCTGAGCCAGCAGCAGGACCCCCCTACTCGGCAGTGGATGCCAGATCCAGGCTGGGCACGGGATACTGCAGGAAGTGCATCACTGCCCTCGCCACCTTCTCTGGGGCAATGTTGTAGACAGGGTGTGTGGCCTGCTGTGGGAGAGAGGAATGGAGGATGTTAATCACGAAGTCTTAGAATGGTTTGGGTGGGAAGGCACCTTAAGGATCATCCAGTTCAACCCACTGTGCACAGGGAATCTCTGCCATCCCAGGTTGCTCTGCCCGGTCCAACCTGGCCTTGGACACTTCCAGAGATGGGGCAGCCACAGCTTCACAGCTGTGCCAAGGCCTCAGCACCCTCACAGGAAAGAATTTCTTCCCCATTCCCCTTTTCCAGTTTGAAGCCATTCCCCCCTGTCCCGTCACTCCAAGCCCTTGTCCAAAGCCTGATTCCAAAACTCCCTTGTAGCTTTTTAGGCCCTTGAATCAGCTCTAAGCTCTCCCTGAAGCTTCTTCTCCAGGCTGAACCCCAACTCTTTACACCGCCATTGGATCTGCCTTTCTCAGTGCTGTGGAACACTGGAAGCTCACCCCCGCCCACCCCAGCAATGCCTAGCACTTACCAGGCAATTCTCAGGGATACCCAGGACCACCTCATTGTGGAGATCTCCACTTCCAAAGTGCTGTGCAATGGCCAGCCCACTCAGGCAGTAGCAGGTGTGGTAGAAATCCCGGGATCTGCATGCAAGGAGATACTGGGATGCTGATGGGGCATCTGGGCACCCCTGATGCCAGGCAGCCCTGTGTTCCCCCCTGCACTCACTTTCCTGGCTTATCCAGCAGCCCGCCAGCTGGGCACTGGCAGCACAGGAGGATGTATTCCTGCAGTGCCAGCTGGTCGAACATCCAGTGTGCCATGCTCAGTGCTGGATCGCCTGGAAGGGAAACCCAGAGGAGAAACACGAGAGAAGGTGTCAAACCCCTCAAGATGCCATTCTGGAGACAGAGGAAGCCTATGGCAACTCACCCCTGGCATGGAGTGCCCGATGGAGCAGGGGTAGGAGCCCAGCTTGCCAAAAGGAGTAGCACCCATCCACCAGCTTGTTGCAGCGGCCTTGGAATCCGCCCTCGA